GGGGGGCAAAGATTGTGTCTATACCCGACGGCACTAAGCAAATAGACGGAGAATTATTAAGAACAAAAGTTCAAGAACATCCCACTTTCGATTGGAACCCTTGTCATCAAACCGTCGGTTTTTTTTAATGTCCTGAGATGATGAAGCATGTGGCTATTTTAGGCGATGTCCGCCAGAAAACGTCGTTTGCAACAGGTTCAATAAAATAACCGATATTTCTGATCAACATGGTCTTAGTAACTCAAAACGGTAAAAAATATGAGATAAAACTGTGCAATTCTGAGATTGCTTTATCATTTACACTCTCGCAGTTATGACAACTCCTTTCACCCTGACAAAGGACTCATTCTCTTCAGGTTGCCATCTTGCACCACCTCTCCCTTAGGTCTAGTAGAGGTGAACTCTGTTAAAGCCACGCCCCTCTTGTGCAGAAGTCTTTCCTGTAGAGCTCATCTCTCTTCCCCACTCCTTTACACCCCCCCCTACTTCTTTGCTCATTTTCCCACACTTCATTGTACCCCTCCCCCCCCACAAAAAAAAACACACACACAAAAAAACAAAAAAAACCCCCCAACAACCACCAAACAAACAACAACACAAAAAAACCCCAACAACCCCCACAACCCCGACTTCATTGCTCATTTCCCCTCTCATCATTATTCACCCCCCCCCCCCCCCCACACACACACCAAAACCACTCTATGGCTCCCTTTTCCCTCCTTCCATTACTCACTTTTCCCTCACTCCACTGCTCAATTTTCCCTCTTCCATTGCTCACTTTTTGTCTCATTCCATTGTTTGCTTTTGTTCTTTCATCGTGAAGTTCTTCATACGGGAGACATATTTATATTAAAATATGCACACTCGAGTATGTATACACCGCATCCAAATTGCATTGTTCGCAACAGACGCTAATCCTTAAAGTTAGGAGGTTTAATGTTTAGCCTGGTTCTCCTTTGTGTGTTTGTGAAAGGCACTGACTGTGCACGAATGTTCCCATTTGGTGGGGTCATTTCGGAGATGAACGTCACATTCAAGGTCCCGCTTCTTATAACTTTACAGTTTTGCAAGAGGCGTTAAACCCATGCCACTTCAATTTCTCACACCCACATTGCATTATTTACATACTATGCCAACTTTAAAATCTTGACCTAATCCGCCCAGGTCTGGTACGATTGTCGGAGAATAAAGCCTGACTAGCAAAGGGCTGGGAGAACCTGTCAACATGTTTCACAGAGTTGTTGCCCTAAGTGTGTGCGCACTTTTTGTCGTTTTCGATTTCTCCGAAGGTCAATCAGCCGAGTATGAGGGGTAAGCAAGAAAACTGTTGTTGTTGTTGTTGTTGTTGTTGTTGTTGTTGTTGTTGTTGTTGTTGTTGTTGTTGTTGTTCATGTAGTCGTTGTTGTTGGTGGTGGTGATGGTTGTGATGGCGGTGGTGAAGTTTGGGGTGATGTTGAGGATGGTTGTGGTGACTGTGGTGATGATTGCAATAATGGTGATGGTGACTGTGGTGATGATGATGGTAATAATTGTGATGATGGTAATAATTGTGATGATGGTAATAATTGTGATGGTGGTGGTGGAGGTGGCGAAGGTTGTGCTGGTGGTAGGGATGATTATGATGGTGGTGGGGGTGTTAATGTTGTAGCTGATATTATTGTTGCTTTTGTTGCTGTTGTTAAGTCCATTCCCATTTGGGTCTATTATGTTCCAAGCAACACATAGCAGCCTCCTGATTGGTTGTTGGACATGTTTGTTTTTTTGTTTTAAAAAAACCCAAACAAATTAAATGTACGTAATTGTGACCCAGAAAATCAAACAAGTTTGAATATATATATAT